AAGCATTAAAGACCCATGTGCAGGGGCTTGAAAATGTGGTAGACCTATTTGCTTTTCAACACAGGAGGAAATTGGAAACAGAAGTCTGGATTGCCATTGAGAGGCACTTACAAGTTAATTAATCAAGTGAGGGAATCCAGTGGTCAGGAATGGCAGCAACAGGGTCAGTTTTGCACTCGGGTCCTGCAAGCAGAGTCTCGGGGTGACCCGTAATCTGACATGTGTGTTGGTCCCATAGGGAGCTGTTGACCAGCTCAGCACACCTGGCTGCCAGGTGTGCAATGCGCACCTCCTTACCTGTTTTGGTGTCGTGCTGTCAGTGGTGTTTAGAAAATATTTTGTAAGGGTAGCTGCATAGTGGCAGTGGAAGGAGGGTAGAAATACAAATGTGTTAATTATGATGACAGCAGTTAGGATAATGGTAAAATGTTAGCAAAAAGTTGCAAAGACTGGGAATGTGATGAAAGGTGACAATATTCTATTATACTTGGAGATGTATCCTAAAATAGTCCTGCTGATTGGCAACTTCACTAAAGGCAGCGTCACATCTCACTCAACTTAGCCAACTGTGCCTAGCACACTGAGGGTATCAAATGAATGACTCTTACAATTCATTGCCTTATAGTTTCTTAAGGTATGAATGGTTGTGTTCCCCCAAATTCATATGTTGAAACACTGACTTCTACAATGATGTTGGGAGGTGGGGTTTTGGGGAGGTGATAAGATCACGAGGGTGGAGCCCTCCTGAGGGGAATTTGCACCTTTATAGGAGACCCCACCAAGCTAATTTGTTCCCTCCACCACGTGAGGACACAGCAAAAAGGGATCATCTAAGAATTAGAAAGTGGTCCCTCACTAGACTTGAATCTGCAGCCACCTTGATATTGGACTTCCCAGCCCTTGGAGCTATGAAAACTAAATTTCTGTTGTTTATAAGCTGCCCAGTCTTGGTATTTTGTTATAGCAGCCCTAAAGGACTAAGGCACCATTGAACTGTCCTTTTATAGGTATGTGCCTGATGATATTCTTAAATATTATTAACATCTTAATCTCTCTGTGAGAAGATATTTCATAACCAGCTCAGTAACTTATATTCCCAACTATTTTATTCTTAAGGCATTTTTTGCATTCTAAATTATAATTTAGATAAATAAAAATAATAAAATTATTATTTAAAACCTTTGTTTTGTTCTCTCTCTCATGAAGCTAGGAACATGTCACCTTCTTCTATATAAAATGCTTTCCTTAAAAAAAGAAGACCCTGTTGAACCACTACTGTCCTCAGCAATGAATGCAACAAGAACACCATCCATAAAAAAGTCACAAGGCCACATGAGATGGATTAAGTGAGGAAATGACACCCACACAGTGTTATGGAGAAGCAACAATGAAAGCTCTTCACATGCTGGGTGGATCTCTCCTCTGGCCAGTGTGCTTCTTACTTTTGTTGATGCTCTGCCTCAAATAGGTATATTTTTCCTTGTGACTTTTTAATTTGAAAATCTTCAAACATAATAGAAAGGGAATTCCTATATACCCTTCCTTTATATGGATCCACATTTTCTTTTTCTTTTTCTTTCTCTCTCATTATCTGTGTTTCTTAACTTTTAAAAATTATCACTCTCAAGGAGACATTTTAGACATTTTTTCCTAATCATTTACCCCATGAAAATGTAAGACAATAAACTGTGTCTGTTTATAACCATCATAATATCTAAGAAGTTTTTGTTCACCAAGAACCAACTTCTCATTTTTCTGTACCATTTGAGAAAAAGTTGGAGATACTGTACACTTTTCCCCTGAATATTTTGGTATTTATTTCTTAACAAGGGCCACCTTTTACATAATCTAAATATAAATACCAAAACCTAGAAATGTAACATGGATACATTATAACCTAAAATCCACAATCCATATTCAAATTTGTTAATTATCTCAGTAATGTCCTTTAGAGCTAATTTTTCCCAGCCCAGCCAGGATTCAATCCAGGATTCCCATGGTACTTTATTGTTAATCTCTTGAGTCCCTCTTACTCCGGAACATTTCCTTGACTTTGACATTGTTAGATAGTAGAAGCTGTTTTGCAGAATGCCTCTCAATTTGTGTTTTCTGATGTTTTGTCCAGATTGGATTCAGGTTTTATATTTTTAACCAGAATGCCATAAAAACAATATGTCTCTGTCAGCACAGTGTCTCAGTTGCATAATGTCAGTGTGTCCCTGCACTGGTGATATTAACTTTGACCTTGTGTGTAAGGTGGTGCCTGCCAGCTTCTCTACTTAAAGTTATCATTTTCCCTTTGTAATTAGTAAGTGTTTTGTGGAGAAATGCTTTGATACTATGTAAATATCAGACACTCATAACTTTTTCCTGCTTAGTTAGGATCCATTCATGCTTCTAATAACCCCATCATCTCTTCCATAGTTTTTACTTAGAATTCTGTTAGGAAGAGCTTTTACTTCACCCCCATTTATCTGTTTTATTTGTTTATATCAGTGTGGACTCATGGATTCTAAATGAGTTCACTGAGTCATGATACATTTAAATGTTACTTCAGCGCTAAAATTGTGCTTACACTTGGTCTGGGAGCCCTTAAGCTTGATCCCATGTCCTCTGACTCTTGATTTTTGAGTAGCAGTCATTCACTTCAGTACCTGAGATGGCTCTTCAATGTATAGCCATCTTTGTTGAATTCCAACATGGTGGGAGACAAGAGAATTGGGGCAGTGAATTTATAATCACTAGATCAGGCTCTGTCTGATGAGTGACCTTCCCATTTTTGAGCCTCCGTGTACTATCTTAGTATTCTTAGATATTACGTGCCATTAAAATGGCAGCTAATAATAATTTCCTGACTATTTAAATGGGTTGTTGTGGGTTATCAAATAAAATATTGCATAAGAAATGCTAGATAAGCCATAAAACTTCAATCCTATGTGAGATATTTTATTATCATTAAATTATGCTCTTATAATGATAATGATAAAACCATTATTTTAGCAAGAAAATACTTTGGATGGTGCAATAGCCAATGGCCCAGAAACAGGAAAAGTTTTGATAAATACTGAGAATTTGGCTATTAGAATGAAGTCTTTTAGGTCAGCCCCATTTTCTGGAGAACTTCACATGCACTATTTTCAACATGAAACTTTCCTCCTGCTTAGAATGTCATTTCTTTGATGAAATCCCAAATCACGCGGCATGGAATTGTCTTTGTAGGGTATTACTCCCTTAGTAGATCCCTGCCTTTCATTTAAACATTGGCACCCAACTGATGTGCAATTCACTAGAAAGGCATCCGCACCCACACTAGCTCAGTCTCAATTGCCCTGTGATGTCTGGGAGGCCTGAGGGACCCTGTGCAGATCAGGCTGCTCAGAAGAGTCTGTACCACCTCCACCATCACCACCATCCCACCCCAAGGAGAAGCTGTTTCTTTCTTTCTTTTTTTTTTCCCTTTGTTCTTAATGTGGTCCTTACTCTGTGGGCCCAGAAAACACCTGGAATTTTTGCAGCACTGGGGAAAAAGCATTAGTTTCTTAAAAGTTAAGCTATTTTTTTAGAGTCTTGAGTTAACATTCGCTGAGGAATAAAATTGTCTTTTACTTGACTGCAAACCTTTGCACAACTACCAAGGGAAAGGGAATTAGTATATCCAGAATTTGGGGTCCTAGTGGGACTGAGAATTTGTTTCTAATCACCTGAATTGAACTTTGAGTTCTGGCAAAACCTAAAAGCTCCAGGACGAAGGCTCCCGCCCCAGCCTGGGCTTGCTCGCTGTCAGGCCAGCCTCCTGCTGGATCTCTGGGATACGGGCTCACATCGGAGATGCCTGAGCAGGACTTAGGTGATGTCCTTCATGCTTACAATTTGCCTGAGCCCAGTTATTACTCTCACAAATACTTGGGAACTATATGTTAAAGAAGTATAGAGTAGGAAAAACCCAAACCATCTTCCCGGCCTGGAAAAGATACTTGTGTTCCAACCAACCTACCCCTCACCAATGCCATGTGCTCATTCACCTGAGAGAGGGTCAGTGTGATCAGGCAGAACTGTGGTGAGGTTTCTAGGTGCTAATAACCATTCTGGATGAGCATTAGCCATCCATACAAGGCCTGTGAGGGGTACCAAGAAATGTCAGACAAAGTCCTATCCTTCGAGGAACTTTTAGACTAGTCTCCTACCTTCCCACAGCCTCACTTCATTGGTTAAAAAAATTATTGAATTATAGTTGATCTACCATATTATATTGGTTTCAGGTGTACAACATAGTGATTCAACAATTATATACATTACTAAATGCTCACCACTGTAAGTGTAGTCACCATCTGTCATCTCACAAAATTATTACAATATTATTGACTGTATTCCCTGTGCTGTATTTTCATCTCTGTGACTCACTTATTTTATAATTGAAAGTTTGTACCTCTTTATCCCCTTCACCTATGTCACCCATTTCCTTCTAACCCACAGCAAACACCAGTCTGTTGTCTCTGTGTTTATGAGTCCATTTCTGTGTCTCCTTTGTTCATTGTTTTGTTTTATAGATTCCACATGTAGGTGAAATCATATGGTATTTGTCTTTCTCTGTCTAACTTATTTCACTTTGCATAATATCCTCCAGGTCCATCCATGTTGTTGAAATTGGCAAGATTTCTTTTTTTCCTTTTTAATCGTTCCACAGCCTCATTTTGATTAGGCCTAACCTAGATAGTTTTTTAGTCTTTGGAACTTTTAGTTGTGCATGCTTTAAGAAAACCTTTCTATTCTCTTCTTTTCTCCATGTACTTATTGTTACTTGGGGTTGGGAAGGTATGAGAAATGGAGTGTGGCAAATTGGAGAAAAGAAGCCTTGACCTTCCAAGTCAGTTTCTTTCTCTACTGCTCAGAAGTATAATGTGGCTACAGTAGGTTCAAACAATAGCCAGAACATTTGCATCTCCTCCGCCATAGCTGGAGTCTGTTTTCCTACCCTAATGTGGGTTGGACTTGTTTTGCAGAATGGGACTTTAGCAACTTGATACAAACAAAGACTTGTGAAGAGCTTGCCCATTGGACCTTATTCTTGCTGCTTTTGGAACCCTGTAACTGACACCATGTAAACAAGCTGGGGCTGCTTGCTGAACAGGAGAGAGATCCCCAAAGCAGAGCCACCTCACTGACTGGCAGCTGATTGCCAAGGCCTGAATTATCAGAGCTGAAAGCAGCTGGAGAACTGCTGAGAGGATCCCGGCCTGACTTGCCCGCTCATAAGAATGGTGTGCTAGGTGAATGAGTATTGCTTTAAGCCACTATTCTTTTTAGCTTTTTGACTTCCAAAGCTGCTGTAAAGTCAGGTGCACCCTTCACTCAGCTTTCTCTAATGGTGACATCTTACAAGCTGGAAAACAATATCAAAAACAGGAAATCAATATAGGTACTGTTGACTAGACTAAACTTATTCAGTTTTTGCCATGTTTTGAAAAATCTGTACTCATTTGTGTATATTTATGTGCGTATGCACACATGCACATACATAGCTCTATGCAGTTTTATTCTACATACAGATTTGTGTAACCACCACCATTTCCACAAGAGAACTTCTTCCTGCCCCCTCTTTGTATTTGCACCTGTCCCCCAACACACTCCTGTCCTTGTGCCCTGGCAACCACTAGTCTGTTTGCCAGTTTTATAGTTTTGTCATTTCAAGAATGTTATGTAAATTTGAATCATACAGTATGTACCCTTAGGTCCATCCTGGTTGCATGATTCAGAAGCTCATTCCCTTTTATTATAGTATTCATTGCATGGATGTACCAAGTTTGTTCTAGAAACTAGCTCTTTCATGGATATGTGGTTTGCTAATATTTTGTCCCAGTCTTTAGCTTATCTTTTTATTCTATAACAGAATCTTTTGCAGTACAAATGTTTTTAATTTTGATGATGTTCGATTTATGAATTTTTCTTTTATGTATTGTGCTTTTGGTGTTAGATCTAAGAATTCTTCACCTGGCCCTAGGCTCTGAAGATTTTATTGTTTTCTTCAAAAAAGGCTTATAGTTTTATGTTTTACATTTAAGTCTATGATCCATTTTGAATTAATTTTTGTATATGGTGTGAGCTTACATTTTGTTCCAACACAGTTTGTTGGAAAAACTATCCAGCTTCCATTGAACTGCTTTTGAACCATGTAAAGAATGAACCAAATCATTATAAATGAATTCAACCAAATTTCTTGGTTCTCTTTTTTGTTCTGTAGATCTATGTGTCTATGAATTCAGCAATAGTACACAGCTATTATTAAGCTATGTAATTATTTATGATTAAGATTATTATGGCTATATAGTAAGTCAGTATCAAGTACAATAATTTCTTCTATTTATTTTTTTCAAAATTGGGTTAAACATTCTAGTTCCTTTTCTTTCATATATATATTTTAGAATTAGTTTATAAATCTTGCTGGGATTTTGATAGATAGGACAATTTAAGGAGAATTGACGTCTTTCCTCAATGAGCCTTCCAATCCATGATTACAATAGATCTTTGCATTTATTTAGATCTTCGCTTTCTTTCATCGATTTTATAAATTTCTGCTTACAGAGACTGTACATGTTTTGTTAGTAAGCTAATAATTTTTGCGATGTTTTTTGACGCAAAAATCAATAACAGACATCAAAACCAGGAAACTGACATAAGCACACTGTGTCCTTGACAAAATCAGGAGGGCGGAACACGGCTCAGCTCTATGGGCTGATACAGTCTGCTCTCCCAGTGAGGAGATCACGAGAACAGAAAATCACGTGGGGTGTGGTGGCCGAGAGGACGAACAGGTGAGGCCTGCCCCGCTAAAAGCCCAAGCTTAGGAACACTCTCGAGGTTTACACCAGGCTCCTGGGAAAAAGGCAGGTCTCTACTTCTAAGACTAAAATTTGTCTAGAATTTTCAAACTAGAATTTAGATTTGATAGTGTGATAAAATCTGTTCACTAAAATCTGCCTTTAGATTTCTCCTCAAGATGGTAAAATGAGCACATATATAATCTCCTTGGCTCTTAACAGAGCAGAATGATAAAAACTTAGGTTTAAGCAGGCTGAGTCAGGGTGGAGCTGCTGCCAGTCTGACTGTCACTGCACAAGGAACACTTGATTGGGATGCAACTACACTAGTAGGCACACTAGTGATTAATTGTATTTTTATAATTTTATAAGTATAATTTATACTAGTGATAAATTATGTTTTTCTTTGTCATGTTGATATAGCTGCTCTCTCACCTGTTTTTACCCTGTTTCTCACTTTTTAAAAAAGAAGAAAACGTGTTTAATTTCTTTAGGGGGAGGTCAGGTAAACACAATCAAACTCAAAAACAAGAGAACAAGATCCATTAGTCAGGAACTGACAGAAACCTATAGTGGGTAACAGGCTAAGTGCACTTGGCCTGGAGGAGACAAATACTATCATCTGCGAACAGTGGAGGCTGAGCTGCAGGGACTATTTGATGAGGAAGGCATTTCTCACCTCACAAAAGGCAAATCCCTGAGCTCTTCCAGATGAAGCTGAGATCAGTCTTTACAGCCTCTGTCAGTCACTGGATGTGAAGAAGTTCCACTAACTACCGAGCACTGGGTCCTGCTTGTCTGTGGTTCTGGGATGGAGAATAGGCATCTGGGCGAGAATGAGAGCCAGGACCCGCTGCGTCTCACCACAGCCCTCAGTGCGTCAGTGCCAGAGGCAGCTGAGAGTAAGAACTACGTCTTGGCTTGATGATGCACATTCAAAGTGTCAGGGTGAGGTAACCAACCTTCAACTTGGCAGGGAGTGGGGTCTACCAGAAAAATGACCTCTCAAGCAAGAAAAGCTTTAAAAAAAAATTATAAAATATACAAGGAAATTTTCTGTCATAAAGATAGTTAGCAGGCCAAATAATCTATAGAGTCCACACCCAAGGAACTAGAAATAATGGAGCAATATGAAAAACTGTTAAAATAAATACTTTGGAATCATTAAGTAAGTCAAAGAGGAGTGAGAATAAAGGATTATTAAGCAAGCACAATAAGGTATTAAAAGATTCGTCTAGAAATCTTGGAATGGGAAGTCTACTCACTGGAATAAAAATGGTAGCTGACATGGTGAACTGTAGACTAGGTGACTAAGCCAACACTAGCATGAGGGAAGGCACCCAGGGTGCACATTTAAAGAGGTACTCACTGTCCAAGGTGCAGACCTTGCACTTGCACAAGCCAGAGGGTGAGTGCCTCCTTAAACTGTGTGCTCTGGCCACCTGCCTGCCTTGCCCTTAGCCCAGCTCTGGTAGACTTGGCTGAAGAGGAAGTTAACAGTGAAGATAAAAGAAGGAATGACCTAGAAGCCAGACAAAGAGATTTAAAATATGAAAAGAGAGGTTGAGAGACATGGAGAAGAGCTCTAAAAAATGTCTGGAGAGTTCCAGGAGAGAATAAAAAGAATAGCAAAGGAGAAATATTGCAATAACCTGAATATTTTCCAGAATTATAGATATTTATCCTTCAATGAAAATAGGTCTGTCTTTATAAATAAGATTTTAAATCATTTCTTATTCATTGCTGAAAATACAAGGGGCCCCAATTCCTCATTGTTTCCTGCCCAGGCCAGTTTAACTGGGTTGGGAAAATTCAGTTTAATCTCAGGGCATTTGGTGCATTAAAGAGGATTATGGATGGCACACATGGATTATATCCTCAGTTTTACCTGTCTGAGTGGTAAACATTCCACAGTTTCCAGTATTCAGTTGCTTCAAAGCAACAGTGGCTCAACAGTGACCTGATTGTCTCCTCCCTCACTGGGGGAGGTGAAAGTCTTTTGTTTGCAGCTAGCAGTTTGAAGTTAGGCTGGATGCATGTTTGGGAACCTCTCCTTTTACAGGTCTTTCTTGCTACTGCATATGAAGGATTTTCAGTCCCCTGTGCCCTGTTGTCATCGGCCTCCTCTGGCAAGGGAAATGTTTTCCTTTTCAGACTGCAACATTCATAGCACAGATGGCTGGGCAAACCCACTGGTGCTTCAGTCCTTAAAGCTGTTTGCTTTTATTTGCACTTTACCACAGCCAAATATGTAACTACAGGCAGGAAGCTCGGCCATTTTGGCCCAGCCAATGCACAATTAAAGAAAGAGATGGGTCATTGCTTATTTGCTTATCTCTGTGTTTGTTTTAGCTCTCATGCCCAAGTAGGACTACTAATGGGTGCAAAGTCTACTTCCCCTTTTTAATGGGTTTTCTACTATATGGGCGATAGATGAACAAAGGCACAAGTCAGTGATGGACTTTGGGGCAGGTGGAAATCCTTAGCATACAGGAAAGGAAGAATTGTGCGTAAACAATTTGAGTTAGACTTGCAAAGCTCTTTGTTTATTTCAAGGTAATTAAAATGTTCTGGCAGTGGAGGAGAAAATAATGCTTTGGGAATTACTCATTTGCTGTTTTTAAATTAGAGGTTTGGCATCTCTTTCCAGGAGTGAGTAATTTCTTTTGTGGTGTCTGTGTACAGATAACACAAAAATTAAAAACAATCCAGAGCCTGCAGTTGAAACGTGCCTGGGAAGAACTGAAGAATGTCACACTGTAACTTGGGGCTCAGGAGATGCTAAATCAAGAGGCAAATTGGTAATCTAAATTAGGACACCAGGATTGGATCAGTGTGTATGTGTATTTACATCAAAGAAAGACGAAGAGATAGAGGCTAAGAAACAGAGTCAAAGAGTAAGGCGGCCAAAAAACCAAGAGACAGATTGCCGTTGAGAGTACAGGTAAAGATCAGGAAGCTGAACTAGGTAAGAGAAAAACTGCCCAGTCATTGCCACAGCACAAATATAGGAAAAAAGATCATTCACCACATGCCCAATGTAATACAGAATGTAATGTATACAAAGGCAGGGCCCCTTTCTAAGCAGGAGGAATGGGGTATGAAAGAAAATCAGGTTGGTTTTGTAGTTATGTGGTAGGATAGTACAAGAGGAAAGGCAGCACACTGTGGGATCAACGAAGAGCAACTCACTTGTAGTTTAGAGCCCAAGACCTTGCTTACGCAGTCTCGGGGCTCATTGTGGGGGCTGGCTTCAGTATCATCTCAATTCAGTGGTCATGTCAATTCAGTGGTGTGGTCTGAGGAGCCGCCAAATAACTAAGAGAATTACATCTACCTAAATGTTCCTAACTCACGCCTAACTCATGCCATCTCAAATAGAAAATAGATGGTATGCCAACTAAGTAGTACACTCATTGTGGCCTCAAGTTAATGAACTTTCACATTTCACAAGTCACTTTCACATGTAAAATCTGGTTATATTTTCCAGACAAGTCTGTGTTGGGGAGAAATTATTGTTTCACCTGAAAAACTGAAGCACAGAAATGCTGAAATACTTTCCCAAGGTTACAGAGCCAGGAAATGGCCAAGCAGGCCTTGA